ATGTGCTTCATTTTGACCCTACTAAATGTAGCCAAAGGGGAGGAGAAATATTTTTTATTAAAAATATAATCAATAGAAGATATGCTTTTATTTTTATAACAGAATCACTAAAAGAGCTCTTTAATTCAATACACATATACATGGTACTGATTAAGAGAACTGATGTATTTACTAGCAATATTTTCATACAAAATTTATAAGCACCAAGCTGAGCCTCTGTCTTTTAAGGAGCATTTCTGTTTGCTCTGAGGAAGGACTTGATTTACTACTCTCATTCTTTCACCTTAATAATGTGAAAGTTTTCCATGCGAAGCTTGGTCTGTCTTTAGCTTAATGTCCTAATTTCCCCTTGTCAAAACAGCTTTTTCAGGGAGTCTCCATTGTTCTCAGTTAATTTTAACACTAAATTAAAAGTTTCATATGGTGGTGATTTTAGAACATTTTATTTCGTATGCCAAAAGGTGCCTCCTAGACTACTTCCAGTCATAATTGTTACCATCGTTACAAAGAGGTTTTCATATAGACTCTCTTTTAAACCTCAAAGTGTTCTATAAAGACCACACTTTGAAATTTTGTTCTCTCAAAACATACCCCATACATTAGATAAGGGGTCACTGACCTCATCTTACAGACTTAATAGTCATGAGAGTACTTAACTTCCCACTGGATTCAAAGGAAATAGTGGCATTTAAATCCTAAATCTAATAATCTAATGCTATTTCAGTGGCTTACTCTCTTTTGCGTCTTTTTTTATTCCAAGTTTTCTAAAATCATGTGGGAAGTAATAGATCATCTTTAATTGTTTGGGCTTTTATGCTGGGCTCTCAGAATGGCTTCTGATTTGTGGTCTGGCTCTAGTTCAGTATTATCCAACACTAGGTTTATTTCATCGGCCCAGTATCAAAGCTTCCTCACTCTAGTCAGAAATTAAAATAATAGCTGTTAAGTTTCTCCTCCCTGTCAAGGAGTTAGTCAATAATGCAATTTGCCATATTTCTTAGATGACTCTGTACGCTCTCCATAAAAGCTGGATATATAATCCCTTTATTTATTTAAGCACAGGCACTTTCAACTTCCTCTGTAGAGACAGAATCTTTTCTTCCCTAACAACTTTACTTTCTTTTAATGCTCCAACCTCCTGATGCCTGCAAAGGATAAACTGCCAGATTTCACCTGGTCCTCTGGATAAAGCTTATGATACAGATGTCACTTTTCCTTGCATTTCTTCTCCAAAAAGTTTTATGCAGCCAACTACCTAGTGAGGAGGGAAGAGTGAAGATACCAGCAGTGCCCAAAATGACCTAACAGTTCTAAGATGATTAAAAACAAAACATTTCAAATACAAAAAATTATCAGGAAAAAAGTTATTCTTTTTAGTGTCAGAGACATGATAAATAACAAGAGTAATCTGAGCCGTTGCCTAGCACGAGCACTTTTTAAAGCCCACATGCAACCTCAATTTGTGGTATTCATGTGCAAGGCCACGCAACCCAGTGCCCAGAATTCGTGGCTGCCTCTAAGTGACCCTGGGCAAATCATCTCAACACCCCAGTTGCAGGAAAGAGAGATAATTCCACAAACTATTTACCTTCCACCCTGACTCACAGCTCCTAGATGCCCAGAGAATGTGATGTGGGTTAGAGACAGGTCCTGTGAATATGAAAAAGTATTATCCTATAGATGACTATTATGTAATGAGGTTAATCCTCATAACATATTCCACGGTTCAGGTGAAGTCCCNAGAGACAGGTCCTGTGAATATGAAAAAGTATTAAACTTTAGCACTTAACTTCCTTCTCTTAAACCAATCACTTCAAAATTGAAGGTAAGAGTTCATGACTGCAGATTCACTCAATTTTCCTGTTTTAAACCTCCATTTGATATTTTTAAGTCTTCCTTACTAGCTAACAAAACTACACAATACATACTTACACTAAAACAGTGTTCTGAATTTTCTATTTAACTTGTATACACTAAAAAGTCATACTAGTTGAGTTAGTATACTTTAATTTATAAATGGCAAGGGTCCAAATCTCCTAAGTTTCAAAATATAGAATCTTAGGAATAAAAAGTTAATGACAGAATACCATTTTTTTGAAAATTAATANATATTTTCAAGTCTTCCTTACTAGCTAACAAAACTACACAATACATACTTACACTAAAACAGTGTTCTGAATTTTCTATTTAACTTGTATACACTAAAAAGTCATACTAGTTGAGTTAGTATACTTTAATTTATAAATGGCAAGGGTCCAAATCTCCTAAGTTTCAAAATATAGAATCTTAGGAATAAGAAGTTAATGACAGAATACCATTTTTTTGAAAATTAATAAAGATTTGCACTACCAAGGGCACTTTTTTTTTTTTTTGGTGGAACAAGGCGAACTGATTCTAAAATTTATATGAAAATGCAAAAGCCCAAAGATACCCAATCCACTCTTGAAGAACAGGATGACAGGCTTTACTCCAGCCTTATCATAAAGCTACCATAAATAACGTGGTATAATATTAACACAAATAGATGAATGGAATCGCAGAGAGAACCCAGAAAGTAACACAGACGTGTACAAACGCTTGCTATGTGGAGGAAGTGCACTGTATGGTGCCAGGACAGCGGCTATGCAGAAGGATCCTTCCTCACACAGCCATAAATAAGTTCCAAGTGGAATCAAAAACGTAATAGGAAAGGCAAAATTATGAAACATTTTTTAACTAAAAAGATTTTAAAAGGCAAGAGACTATTTTCATGACTTCAGGATAGACAAAGATTCCTTAAGATATAAAAGATTGATAGGCTTGCCATTAAGATTTAGAATTTCTGTTCATCAAAACCACCATGAAGAAAATGAAAAGTAACCCAGAAAGGGTAAGGATATTTACAACAAATATAACCAAATAATGGTATCAAGGATACATCCTACAGCCTGGCCGACGTGGCTCAATGGTTGAGCATTGACCTAGAATCCAGGAGATCCTGGTTCAATTTCCGGTCAGGTCACATGCCCAGGTTGTGGGCTCGATCCCCAGGTAGGGGGCGTGCAGGAGGCAGCTGATCAATGATGTTTTTCTCTCTCTCTCTCTCTCTTCCTTCCTCTCTCTGAAATCAATAAAGACATACTAAAAAATAATAATACATGCTACAAATCAATGAGAAAAAGACAACTGACACAAAACAGAAAGATGGAGGAAAGACTTGAATGGGTAATTTTAAAAGAACTCCAGTGGCAAATAAACATGATGATGCTCAATGCTATTCCTAATTAGGGAAATGCAAAAGAAAACCAAAATGAATGTCTACTGTAAAAACATCATATTAGCTAAAATTAAAATCTGAGNTAAACATATGATGATGCTCAATGCTATTCCTAATTAGGGAAATGCAAAAGAAAACCAAAATGAATGTCTACTGTAAAAACATATTAGCTAAAATTAAAATCTGACNCTGACACAAAACAGAAAGATGGAGGAAAGACTTGAATGGGTAATTTTAAAGGAACTCCAGTGGCAAATAAACATATGATGATGCTCAATGCTATTCCTAATTAGGGAAATGCAAAAGAAAACCAAAATGAATGTCTACTGTAAAAACATATTAGCTAAAATTAAAATCTGAGTATATCAAGTGATGAACTGGAACTGAAACTGTACACATGGTGGATGGGGTGTGGTGGGAATATTAAATGTTAAAGATGTGCACACCTTCTATTTCAACTCCTAGGTAAATACCCTATAGAAATTTATGTGCACAAAGATGCTCATTGCATTACTTTCAATAGCCAAAAACTGAAACTATCATAGAAGTGACTATCACAGAATAAAATGGCATCAATGAAATGGCACATTAAACAGCAATGAAAATGAATAAACCACACCCACGCATGACATGAATCTTATAAGCAATGTTGAGTGAAAGGCACCAGATAAACATACATGATCCCATTTTCATAAGTCAAAAATCAGCAAAACACATGAACCATATTGTTGCATACATAACTGGTAAAACCATTTTTTAAAGAGGACAGAAGTATTACCATAAAGTCAGGATAGTAGTTACTTTGGAGGGAGAAAAGGGAGCAAGAGGGAACACACAGGGAGATTCTGGAATACTGGCAGTAACTTGTCTGCATCGGGTTTGTGATTAGATAGCTATCTGCTTTATTCATTAAATGGAACACCTGTTTTATATTTTTTTAAAAATTTAAAAAATGAAGGATTTGTAATACCAAATGTTAATGCTAATTAAAGCCATAATTATTAAAAAGTGTGGAAAAAAATAGGTCCAAGACACAAAAGACACACAGAAATATTCTATGACAGCGTTACAAATCAGTGGGGAAATCAACTAAACTAACTGATCAACTACTGGCAAAAATTAAAATTAAATCTCACCTCATACAATACCCCTAAATAAATTTGAGATGGATCAAAAATTTCCTTTTGAATTAAAGGTAAGTATAAAAGTGAAATTTTGAAAAAGTACTAGAAGAAATAAGGATGAATATGTATCTATCTTTGGGGTGAGGAAGGCATGCTCAAGCTCACCTACCTGCAAAGGTAGAATCCTAAAAACTTCTACATCGAAACACCATGAACTATATTAAAAGACAAGTAACACACTAAAACAGTAACAAAAGATGGGCATCTTCATTTATAAAGAACGTATAAATCAATATATCACAAACTCTCCAAGAGAATATAGGATATGAATTTGCAATCCCCAAAAGAATGTATATAATGGTAAATAAATATGAAAAAAACCACTCAACCTTCATTAAGTAATCAAAGAAACACCAATTTTACAGGTAATCCTTTTCTGCAACTATTCAATTTGCAAATATTTGAAACAGCTATTTTCAATTCTGGTTGTTTGATATATTGCTAGTGGGAATGTGATAGGACACAATCTTTCTGATGAGTGATATACATCAAGATTCTCAAAAACTTACCTTTCACCTAGCAATTTCACTTCTAGAAAATGATCTTCTGGAAATAAGTCATTTTGTACAGATGTGATTCTTTTAAGATGTTGATAGCATCATTTACAGTTACATTATAATTAACAAACTGTTAAACACTAAGTTGATTTTAAGTTATAGTTCACCCATAAAATGCAGTATTCTGCAGCTATCTAAAATGCAAATCTCTTAATATGGAAAAATGTTTACAATATATAGAACAGACAATGAGTTAATGTATAGTATGACTGCACAATTGAAAATATAAATGGATAGCTATGCATAGAAAAAATATGCAAAAGTACATATATCCAAGTATTCACAGAAGCTCTCTCTGGGTAGTAGAATTACGGGGATTGTGTGTGTATGAATGTGAACCCTTCCACATTACCCAACTTTCCAGACATAACATATATCATTCCATTCTATAATAAAAGAACATCAAAATTTTATGTTGTGAAATCATTCACTATGAGTTTTAAAAACTGAAAATAATGAAACTGTTAGCTCAATAGTTTTAATTTGCTTTTCTGGGGGGGATGGGGGATGGAAAGCAGAAGCTGCACCTGGAAGTGCACAATACAGAACTGAGCCCTTCCTCTCCAGAAAATACATCTGACCTAAATGTATTTTCCATAAAATTACATATATGAAAAGTCTCTTTTAAAGTAATTTAATTAAGCACCAGTAAAACATCACCCTTAATATTTTAAGTAGCTCTAATTAATATTTTATTCTTGCTTTCAACACTGTGTAAAAGCTCCAACATACTTAAGAAATCTTTGACAACGTAAGAGTTAATTTTTTCTGGAGACAATCATATAACCCTATAAACATGTATATATAGATTGAGGTTTCTGTAGCCTACGTATGTATGCTTCTTTGGGGGGAAAATGTATTGACGATAATTCAACTGTAGCTTAAAAACAAAAAAAATGGTTTTCTTACCAAACTGAATCTATCATCTGCTAAGAGCAATGAACTCAAGTCAGGTCAAACATAAAAACATCTACTCCCTTCACTTTCATCAGTCACTTAGGCTTTCCTGTATTTCATGTTACTCTGGGCAAAGCTGGTCATTTAGAAAGACCATCCACCCTCCAGTAACAACTAAAATAAGTAGTTATACACAATCTTGGACTGAGCAGGTTGGCATCCCTAACCCCCATGTTGTTCAAGGGTCAACTGTACTCCTTATTTGAAACCAGAAGATAGATAACATCCTTCCAAGGGAAGACAGAGGAAACAAACATTTAAGCATTTTTTGTGTCTGCCTAGGTATTTCACATCCAATACCTCAATAACCCAGGCAAACATGCATAAAATTCTTTAGACCGCTCCCTTCATTACTCAAAAGAAGAGGGAACTAGATCTTCCTAATTCATTTTAGGTGATGCCTGGGACAACTAAATATTTCACTGAAAGGGATGTAATAAATGCTACTTGATACAGGTAAAAAGAAGGGAAAAAAGCAATTACCTGCTTTCATTTGGCTTAGAGAAAAAAATGTGCTCTACTATATACTAAAATATTAGACAACACATAACATACTGCAAAACTTTAATACAATGTGGTTAAACACAATATTCAAATATTAAACTTTTCCAGTACATGAAAGTTATCTTCTGAAAGACGAACTATTTTTATAGCTACCGTTGTGTAACTTTATAAAATTCTTTCCCTCCACATCTGACACTGATCTTGATACTTGTTAGAAAGTCTGATGTTAAGAAAAGGACATCTAAACAGGCAGAGAGTCAGGAGAGTATCCCAATGCCCATCTTCAGAATTCACCATCAGAGGACTGATCGTCATCTTCATCCCTTACTTCTCGGTATTTCCTCGAAGTCTCCCCTTCTGGATTATAGCTCTGCATTTTAATATTCAGTCTTTCAGCTAATTTCTGTGCTGCGAGCTTGGCTTGCATCTCCTTTAAAATAAAACGCAAGCAAAAAGTTACACACTCACATCTTTTCCCTACAATTTTTCAACGGGAAGTCATTTAAACAGAATTGGAAATAAAGGGGCATGCCACTNGTCATTTAAACAGAATTGGAAATAAAGGGGCGTGCCACTGCACTTAGTGCTCTCCAGCAATGTAACCAGCCTGACAGCTGCGTCTACACAGACACAACAGGGCTATGCTGTGAGAGCTATCAGCCTGCTACAGCTGTAGTTACAGATGTCCATTAATAAAGTGCATGGAACTATCCCACCTCTTCACGAGAAACTGAGTAACCAGCTCAGCACTACAAACAGTTATAAACATGGATATATTTTTAAGTATGTGGGCACACACATGTGTATATACAAATTCACAGAATAATACAAGCTACCAAATGTCAAAAATCACTAATGCTGTGCTGATTCTCCAACTGACAATCATCATCTTTCCTAGATTAAATCATTNAAATGTCAAAAATCACTAATGCTGTGCTGATTCTCCAACTGACAATCATCTTTCCTAGATTAAATCATGGCTTCTAGGCTTATGAGTTATATTTCAATGCCACAATGAAAATCAAAAGATTAATACTAAAACGCTATCTTTCTCCAAATAAAGCCCCATGGAAATTACTATGCAGCAAAATGTCCAAATAAATTCCAGATATTGGGAATGTGCTTATACACACTGCAGGATACAACCGCCGACTGATGGTAGGTGCCAACTTCTTTAGGTCCATCCCCTCAGGTCATGAACATTATGGAAAAGTAGGACTGAAGTGGGAGCTGCTACTACTACTACTCTGCCAAGAAAGTCAACTTCAAACTGTAGGGTGCAATTCAACTTAAAAATGTCTTAGACCATACGGACCATTTAAAAAGCAATTCTTCAATGTTACTGTTGTAAGTAGGCAATAATTTTAATGCACTGAGAGGAAGAAAAAATGGTTTTAAAAAGGAGTGCCTTAAAAATGCCAACCGAGGCCAACTGAGCTTTTATTAAAAGCCAAGGCAGAACAGTAGAATAGTTTTGTATGAACTGGTGCGTAAGACCTGATAAAAATCTAACAGCAATATTAGAAAGTTAGGGTGTTGTTTTCCTGGAGGCTCAAATCATTACTAAATGTAACAAACCCTTTCTTTTCTCACTGTGGTTCTCACACATACTTTCTTCCATCTCGTTATTCTGTACACAAATTGTCAATATACATGTTTAAGGTTCTATGTAGAACATACAAATGTTTGAAGACAGTCCTATGCAAACTCAATTAAGTCACTATAAGTTGGCGATTCTTCTCTCTTCACAAGGGCCTGCAGATTAGATTTTTAAGCTTAGTGTCCAATTGTCCGTTGGCAACGAAACACTGTTCCCCCTCTCCTTTTATGCTCTCCCATGTACTGCAGGAGATGGGAACCAGAAACCACATTTCCATTTCTCTTTGCAAGGTTCTCGGTTAGATTCCAACACTGAGAAGCTCTCGCATGGGTTTTACAAGGTAGAAGACACCAGAAGTGATACTACTACTATCCTACCAGCATGGGCTTTCAGAGATGTGAAATTTTGCAGTGGTCTCCTCGCATTTCCTGGAGAATACCAGTTTGATATTGCAGGTAGCTGTGATCATCTCCAGCTGCTGCCTGCAGTTCTAGCAACTTCATGACTCTGAAAACACATCTGAGAGCTAATGGCATCCACCAGCCATTTCTCTAGCACCTAATCACTTCTGTTAAATCCCATCTTCCTGAAATAAATTCTAACTTATGTAAGCAGCATCCAACACACAGACAGGAAACAACCCTCTTCAATACCTCATAACTCTGTTGCTGTTGTTGCTGAAGTGCCAAAGATTCTTCTATGGAGAGCAGCTGTGTAGGCATATGGTGTAGTGGCAGCAGCCGAGCTGCTGTGATGTCATCAAGATGCTGCTTATCCCTGCGCCGCCTTTCCTCTGAGGAAACAGGAGGGCCTCTTCTCTGCTCATGACCAGATGAGTCATTCTGTTGTGATGGTAGCCTGAAGGAGGGAAAACTTATGTTATGCCATCTTTCTATAGACATACATCCACCACACTCGCACACACAAAAGTGGCCTTCAACTGTAGCTCTTTGCCCTTTCCTTCTCTCTTCAAACCTTATACTTTAACTGAAGCTACCTTTTCATTCAAAAAACATTTGCAAAGGGGCTTACTATGCATTAGAGAGAAATAAACTTGTCAACTGTTTCAGTGCAATACAGGGTGAGGCAAAAGTAGGTTTACATGTTGTGAGTACACAAAAGTTTTTTCTTGTATTATTAATTATTGTACTATTTTCCATACAAACAACTGCAAACCTACTTTTGCCCCACCCATATTATATCACAGGTACCATGATTCACATCTATACTTGGTACATGGGAACATGAAGAAGGAAATGGCCAGTTCTAATGGGAGACAGGGAGGTTGTCAGAAAAGCTTCAAGGTGAAATCTGAGGAGTCCTGGAATAGTGCTCTCCAAGTAAATGAGGGAGGAGGGCATCCCAGCTGGGAGTGAGAGGCACATGGCTACAGCACACAGGAAGTGCAAGAGGGAGAGAGTAGAGAAAAGGTAGACAAGCCTGGGAAGCAGGCTGGGTCCAGACCACAGTGAAGAGCTCTATTCTATGTAACAGGTTCCGATGTGCATTTTACAAATTTTACTCTCGCAGCAGTGGACAAGATGAACTGGTAAAGAGTTAAGACTGGAGACTGGAACAGACCATAGTTATAGCCCAAGAGAGAGGGGAAGAAGGCAAGAGTGATTAGCGACAAAGGTCAAGGAAATACATTACGCAGGTCTTCATGGCTAGACGATAAGGAGATGAGGAAAAAGGAAGACACCTTGGGGGAAATGAGGTGACACTAATAACTTAGAGAATATGGAAAAGGTCAGTTGGGGAAGAAAGGAGTTCCACTTTCCACATGATAAACCTGAAGTGCCATGAACACCTGCATAGGTCACATTTCACGNTGAGGTGACACTAATAACTTAGAGAATATGGAAAAGGTCAGTTGGGGAAGGAGTTCCACTTTCCACATGATAAGCCTGAAGTGCCATGAACACCTGCATAGGTCACATTTCACGAATAACTGGCAGTGTAAATCTGAAGTTCTAGAAAGACCTGAGCTAGAGGTAGATGAAGGGCAGCCTCTGGCATCCAGGTAGTAATGGAGCCAGAAGATATAGGAGGCCAAGGGAAGAGCAAAACAGAAGCCAAAGACACTACCTTTCCCACTTTGCAACCTCCACGCTGCTGCTCATTCTCCCCTCAATCCTCATCGGCCTATGGCCTGCTAACTAGCAAGGTGCAGCCTTTCCTGACCTGCTCTAACTACAGGGGAGCTTTCTTTTCAATTTCCTTAACACTTGGTAGCCCTCACTGCTATTCCCTTCCCCACTCCCACTTCCAGCTGAATGGCCCTAATACAAAACTAGGATCAGGGTATTATTCTCTGTTGTATTTACTGACTAGATTATGCTTCTGGTTTCCTGTCTTCCCAGCAGTGAGGAAAGACACTTCTTTGCACACAAGATGAGAGTTAACTTAACAAAAGATTACTTTTTATTCCTAACTAAAAATTAATGTAACATTAATCCTGGTTTTCTGGATGAAAGAAATAAAATGTTTTGAGGTTAAATTGGGGTAGGATTAAACTTTAAAGTCTCTTTATAATAATAAAAATGGTTTTAGGTATTTTTAACTAGAGGTCTTCAGTTTTTCAAAGATAGGCAATAGTGGTTAGACTTTGTATCTGATAATGCTACATCCTTGTAAATCTAGACTGGTACCAGCGGCTATTCCCAGATTTGAATGTCACATTCGCATACAAGTAATAGTCTTTTCTCTTCAAAGAGCTTTTCTTTCTCTGGAAAGCTCAGAAACAAAACTAGGAAAAGGAATTTAGAAGCAGGGTTAGTTTGCCCCTCCTGCCCTCCCTAATCTGTTTTCACTTTTTTTTTTAACCCCTCCTCAGCTTCCTTCCCCTAAAGTTGTTACAGTTTAATGTTCTTCCAAGTGTGCAAGCCTTGGGTCCTCGTCTAGATCCTAAACTCTTTGATGAGCAGAATCTTTACTTCTGTGTCCCCATTGCTACATCCAGTGAACACACACATATTTTTTGCTGAGAAAGTCTATCAGCTCCTGCAATTGCTTTTTCTTTGGCTGACAGTCTAATCAAAGGGGGAGCTGTATACCAGAAAATGGTTCTGAAAAAAATGTCATAATAAATTCTGCTTATTATGAAAAACTGGCTAAGTATCCTCAATCTTAACACTCCATCTGCTATTTAAAATGTTTTCAATTATTTGGATAAAATATTAAAGTATTTTTCAACATGAATCCTCCGCTCCAGCCAGGCCAGTCTGTTTCCACAATACGCTCATTCCTAACTACAAGTAGTTCTCACTCAAAGTCCACTGAACTTAAAGCATTCTCCCAATTTTGGGGGTTTAACAAATATTATGTTCCTGTGACAGGTGTTTCCACGGATACTTACACATTGGTTTTAAATTTACGTGGTGGGGGCACTGGGTTTTTGGCTCGCATGTCTAGCACTTCCATGTAATGAGGTTTCTTCTGTGTCCCACTATGAAGGCCTGTCAAGTTCTCAGTCCTCATGTTTTCTTCTGTGCGTTGTTCATCTGGGTCTGCAATTGTGATCCTTTGTAACCTATCAACAAACAGGTTGTCGGAGCTGCTAGAATTATCTTCTGCTTGACCTGACACAAGATGCTGAGGGAGACGCTCACTGGCTTCAGGTGAAGAAGGCAGACTGGCTCTGCTGGTGGAAGCTGGGTACTTGTTCACTGTGTGCCCAACCTGGGAAGCCTCTTCATCACTTCTGTGACTAGAATGTACAAGTCCCTGTTGGGAGGTTGTTTTAGATGATGTGATGTTATCTACACAACAGCCAGGAACTAGTGATGAAGTATCAAGTATCTGGTCAGAATTCTGAGCCTTATCTGCGTCCACGTCAACTGCAATTGCTTTTTGCTTTAGCTTATAGTCTAAACTAACAGGATGAAACAGTTCACTTTTTCCTCTAACTTCTTCACATTCTGCAATGGCAGCTCTCAGTTTGGCAACAGAGTCTAAAACTTTTTTACCGTTGTCGGGCAATCTGCAAATGAATTTTCTGTCAAATGGAAAAGACATGAATACATTAGAGCCATGTTTTCAAACTTGAGATATAAAGACAAAGCCTTATTTCCAAAAAAATCAATCTTTAAGTTAAAAATCTGACTTCCAACTGCCCCAAAGCAGGACTGTAATTACCCAAATACCCCCAAACAAGGGGATCCAGAGAGAATAGGGAATATGCGTCATGTGTCTCATCTAATTAGAATTTCAGCAAAAGTATTTTAAGCACCTAATACTTATATAAGATTTTCCAAAAATCAACAGTTTTTAAAGTATGATCTCCAAGACCTTCCTGGGCAGGGAGGTGGATGGGTCTGCAAGGCCAAAGTATTTCCATAATGCTAAGACACTACTTGCCATTTTCACTCTCATTTTCTCACATGAGTACACTGGAGTCTTCCAAAAGCCACAGGATATGTGATTACCATTGTTCTGCTGGCTAATAGAATGTGTGAGCTTATGTATTCTTGTGTTTTAAAGATTTCTCACTTGTAATTTCTAATACATTGACAAATATCAATAGATATAACACATAAAACAAGAGCCCTTCGGGATACTTAATAAGTCTTAAGAGTAGAAAGGGGTCCGTCCTGAGACCAAAAAGTTAATTTGCTGCTATAGATTAAAAACCCATTCTCACAAGGTCAAAATACTTGTGTCTACTAAGAAGCTCCCAAGGGATCATTTGTCCCTTTTGCTGACTGTTTCTTTTCTGATTCCCCTTGTGTTAGCCATACAATAAATGGGGAGGGAAGGTTACATCTCAGGCCCTATATTATCTCTGACACTACATTCATTCCCATAATTTCCACTATTAACATCCCCTCCAGGTGAGATTCCTGTATTTTCCTAGCTTTCTCCTTTCTTGAGCCTCCTGACCACTTCTCCAGCTCTTAACTCTAACTCTCTGGTCAACTCGGCTCCCCTAATTAAAAACCACCTCGGGTCTATTCCACTCCCCGTTTGCCTACTTTTATTAATGGTTCTCCAGACAGGCTACAAACCTCAGCCATCTCAGTCAACTACCTATTCAAGTTATTCCAAGCCCAATGTCGTTTCCTCAACCCCCTTTCCAGCTCACTTTCTTACAACCTCCTTCTTGGGAACCTCTACTGTCTTCAGCCTCTTATTCCTTCAAAGCACCCTGCACCAAGCTAATTGAGGCTCCCTTTTAAAATCGAGTTCAATATACCTTGCTAAAATCCACTAAGTCCACCAACTCAGTGAGGCTCAAACTTTCTCTGCCTAAAAAGCCCTTCTTTATATCCCACTCTTTATATCCCAGGGTTCCTGTAGAAACAGAATCTAGAGGTGAAATTGGCAAGATGTTTGGGGCACGGTTTAGGGTAGGGTTGGGCAGGGGGTGGAAAACAAAAGGATTTAGGTACAAACCCTCATTTTTAGCGAGTAAAGAAAACCAATGCGGCTGAGGAGCTGCCACGCTCCGCCGCGGTTCCGCGCC